TCACAAACTGATTTCCAAAGTGAATCCATGTTGGATGAGCAGACAGATGAGTTTTGTTGAGCTGCTCAGACAAGAACTCCAAGTTTTCTGCTCGAAGAGTAAATAAAAGTTTGATGCTAGCCTTAAATTGTGGCAATTGATAAGAGTAGTTCACAAAGAGTGTATCTGCTGGAAGGATGGCAGTTAATTGGAAGCATGTTTTTTCATCAGCACTGAGGAAATCAATTTGATATAGAGAGAGAGAAAACAGAGGGTGGGTTAAGGGTGAATTCAGATCGTTCAAGTTCAGTGCTGGGCGAGGTGTTTCTCCCCAGCACTCATTTAGTTTAAAGAGGTTGCATCGTCAACAGCATTGTTTGTGGGTGGGGGCACCGAAAATACAAAATCTACCTGATGCACCCCGTAAGGCTTTTTTGACGAAGCCAGATTAGTTGGTTGGGTGGGTTTATTCTGAGATGAATTGAAAAGAGGTATTTCAGATGACAAATCGGGATCAGCCTCTAAAATCCTGAGCTGTTCCAATGCAACACTGATGGTATCGCAATTGGACAAATGTAAATTCCGACGAATCCCAGGAGGAAAATGTCTTAAAATTGTTGAAACCAAGACAGGTTCAGGAATGGCATAATCAAGGTACTGAGCCTTATGAATATATTTTAAGAAATACGAGCACATGTCTAAAGAACCTTTACGATACTGATTTGGGGTAAACAAGTTAGCACTAACATTATCTTGAACTTTAGGTCCCCAAAAAAATTCCAAGAAATCAGAGCTGAACTCAGAAAAAGTGGAAGCTTTGCTTCTGTAAACATTGTACCAGGTTAGGGCCTTTTCTTTCAGAATCTGCACTATCTCATTTAAAATCACGTGGTCAGGGGCATTCGATGACTCATAGAAGGTAGTTACAGATTTTAAAAACTCAACAGGGTGTACAGGGTACAAGGTGCCGTTGTATGATGGTAAATCTTTCAACTTAAGAGAACTTCGATAAACCTTACTCCCAACTGATCGGCTAGCAGGTTCTTGAGAATTTACACTAGCAATCGATGTACGTCGTAAAGACTGGGTAGGTGAAGTGACATTCTGTGGAATAGGTACACTATTTCTACTCGAATTTTCACTGATCTGACGCTCAACTTCATTTTGTATAATTGAGGGCAAAGAGATCCGCATCTCTCGCAACTCATTGGTCAAACTCTGTAGCACAGAGCCTACTCCATCAGACATTGCAGTTTCAGCTTGGGGAACTTCAGAATGAATATGGCTCATGCGTGAAGGAGCCCTAGAAGAGGGTGCCGGACTAACATGCACATTGTGCTGCATGGCATTCTGAGCAGGTTGATGTTCGAAACCATGACCTACTTCACTGTCAAAAACCTCATTTATCTGCACTCGATCATGAGAAGGATTACCAAGATTGTGGGAAGAGTTATTACCTATATTCCAGTCGAACATGTCCCGCATGTTGGGATTAATAAACAGGCGAGGCTGATACGCAGGTAAGAGCTGGAAATTATTTGGTTGGTTGGGAACATTTATTCCAACAGGAGGATCAGTGACAGGTACAAAACCACGACCACGACCGCGGCCTCTACCCCTACCCCTACCTCTACGCTCAGGGACCGTAGACCTGCGCAGATGTTGGTACCGAGTATTTGGACCACTCATAACTATGAATAAACGTAAACAAGATATATCAAACAAAGTAGAATGATGTGTAAAAACTTAAGACTATATACGATACGCAGATTAATATGTGATGATCCAGGAACGTTGATGAAGATACACGGAAGGCACACACGTAGACCACAGACGAAGCCAGGCAAGGCTGCTGAAAGAGAAGCGAAGTCATCTGGATTAGTTCGTGTTGACAAACAGGACACAGGGTTGGATCTAGCCTCAAGATGCACAGAGAAAACCACCAGTTACTCCAACCAGGCCAAGAGTGCCACCAGACAGAGAAGACAAACGGATGATCCGGCTTTTATTTTTGTTTCAGAAAAAAGCATGAAAAAAAAAAAAAAAAACTGCCGTCCTTTATCTTTGTAGTTTCCCAGGAAAGGGGCAAGACTGGGTTTAAGATGTTGTCGACTTTTTTCCTAGGGGAAAAGGCTAACCCTTCCGCGATGCAAAGATATCGGCACACCAGCGTAGCACATTTAGAATCAAGATTAAATTACATTATATTGAAATATGTTTAGGTTGATTAGAAAGAATTGTTGTTGTAAAGGTTGATTTATTGTGAAATTTCATATTGTTGGATTATTATTTGGTTGATTTGAAGAGACTTTGATGAGACGTGTGTAGGTTAAGAATCACTGTGCGACCGCGAGATAGATTAAGATGTGAAAATTAGATATGTGTAAAATTAAAGTCACTGAACTCCCTCACCCTGCAGAGCAGAGACTCTTGGTAGCCAATGACACAAATAAAAGACATTATTGAGAAATAAAGCACTAAAATCAAGAAGAGTTAGACCGAGGAGGACGCCAAGATGGCGGCCGCTTCCAACGGCGATTTCTTGGAAGAAACGAAACAGCTTTCACACTCACATAATGATGAAGGAAATTGAATTAAAATTTATGTTCACTGAAAAAGCACAGTTAAAACACTTGAAGAACACGGGTTTGACGTTGGGCGCCAATCTGAAGCGATGTGGGGTAACAGAACAGACTGCTGAGCGCCGGGCTAGAGACTCAGGCCACATGCCACAAATGAAAAAGGGATGAAAATGAACAAGGAACACAAAAATTAAGTTTGGCGTGACCAAAATTTAACTACAGAGACATTACCGACCCGAACCGATGAAAGATGGGGGGTAATCCAAGGATTACCCCCAAAAAGGGAAAAAATCGAGAGCAGACGTCTTACACGCACATCCAGGAAAAACGAGCCAAAAAAAAACTGAGAGCACTCTCGACCAACCAGAAAGCAGCACCTATGGCGTCACTTTCTGGGTTCGAGAGTGCTCCCACGGGATAGGCTGCCGGCCTGGAGGGCGCCGAATTTGATAAATTTTAAATTTAAAGGGGACCATACTACAAAGCAAGTAACAAGGTTTACTTTACCAGGAAAGGTAGGAATATATTTTTGAATTCATGTAGGTACACAGAAAATACAGTACAGTCAATACAGTACAGTACATACAGTCTTCTAATCGGCTGGACTGGCATCGTCCAAGATACGGTTCAGCCATTTTTGGTCCGCCTTTGGAAGGTACCTGAGAAGGCCTCGAACATCAATCAGCTTCGCTTGCGATACTTTCGGCGCGGCACTTGTCGAAGTTCCAGTGTCTGCAGATCCTCGGTTGAAAGTGAGGATGAAAGTTCGAAGAAGCTATAATCCATTTGATAGGTTGAAGAGCACTCAAGTTTGCCATCCGGCAAATACTTTATAATGACATACTGCATTATACCAAATTTTTCGCGTATAGACACAGGTTTTAGGTTGTTCGTGGAGACAGGAGGTTTTGGGAAACAAGTTACAAGAGCAGATTCCCAGTCCATAAGGATATCAGCATCCATGCTTAGCTCCAAAGGACGCGGGTTTGACCGTGCTTGTACAATAGCTTCCAGCCAGGGTTCAGCGGTTCCGATTACTTCCATTTTCTTGGTCTTTTGCCGGACCAGACCAAAGTTGCGGTCGCACTGCGAAAAACTATGTCCTCTCACAGGGAATACTTGCACTACTTTGATTCCACGAGTTTGGCTGAGCCGCGAACAATACTTAAGCATCGTCGCATTGCGATTCTGGCCGCCGGCGGCGTCGGATAACAGCACGACAGTTTTGATTTCAGGAAATCGCGTTATGCATTTTTCGATCGTTGTGCTTACTAAAGATACAACCGAATTTAAATTTTTTTGCCCCTGACTCTCCAGGAAGCAATAAAAGTACGAGTCGTCATTATTGAAGACGTGAACGTTAAATCCGTACAACCACAAGAGTCTTTTATAAAATTGTTTGCTCACGTTAAGAAGGGGGAGTGGATAATTCTGCGCGTAATCAAACTCGAGGACTAGAAATGATTTATCCTTCTTTGCCTTATTTACACACTCATTTCTAAGTTTTTTCCGTTCTTCAACCCGTTGAAGATGTAAATCTAACTCATCCCGACATGGGTCGTCAGGATCATGCTTACAAGGAATCAAGCAGTACGATATCTTATCTTTGATAACCGCGATGCACCGGAGTGCAGGTGCAGTGGGTGACTTCGCGGATACCGTCGTATATAGCGACTCCCCCCCCCTCCTCCTCTCTTCATCCTACTAACAGCATGTTGTAACAATCTCGTACAAAATGTTTTACGGGTATAATATTGCATTAAATATGACTTGTATCCGAAAAGATCCGAATTTCCGGCAGAAGGGCGTTCTTGCCCAAAGAAGGGCTTTTTACATTTTGGCCTTGAACTCCTCGAAGAATCATCGGATGATCATGAAAATTTGTGAATATGTACTCTAGGGTATGTAGATTTTAAATCAATGATTGCCGAAAAAAGGGCGTATGATGCAATACGCCCTTCTACGGGCAAACTCTTCAATTAAAAGTCAATCAATGTTTTAAGAAATGATGTTTATCGAAAATGATGTTGTAAGATATGACTCCATTGATCTGTGTTGATTGATAGAGAAATGGTACATTTTAAATGATTAATCCTTGAGAGAAGATTTAATCATCTATTTTTTAAGTTATGTGCAAATTCTAAATTTTGCGATCAAAAAGAAATGCAAAATCTTAAAAGTCATGAAAAAACTTGTTGGTAAAATATGGTATTGAATTCATTGAATTTTCACAATTTTAGTGAATTGTTTAAATAATATTTAAAACTTGATTTAGAGTCTAACCATTTGTAACTTCCTTGATCAAGTTATAAAAATACACTCTCACATACTCAACGCTTAAAAATGGACATGAACCTTTAAATTTCCATAATATTCACTTCAGTAAAACTGGTAAAAAATCATCATGAATATGATTTTTCAATCTGGCAATTCAATTACCTTGCAGTGGAATTTACAGTAGACACCTTCATCTTTATCGTTGACCAACTTGAATGTGTGCGAGCCGTAGCCATTCATGTGGCGGTAACCATCTGGAATGCCTCGGTCGGAATAGGAACATGACTTGATGAGTTGTCTCTGGTCTTAAGGTAATAAAATCAAACACCATATTTGCATCCTTTGTGTGACAAGAAAAAAATCATCATCAAGAGAGGCAAAAAGAACAATACTACCAGTGGAAAAAAAAGATGAATGCCTTGGCAAAACAAAAACAACAAATTCTGGTTCGGGTAATCAAACTTACTTATTAAGAGGTAAGGTTTAAAAACAAAAATACCCAAAGGGCCGTCAAGAGATTCGGAGTGGCCAAGTTTCAAAGTTTCTGACCCCTAATTCCCCTTCTCTTATTCCTCGCACCCCTAAAATGAGGCATATCAGGCATATGACGTAATGCATGACTGGGTCCCCGTGGCGGATACTTGTGCAACACTTGTTGACAGGGTGACAGAGGATAAAGGAAGAAAATTATTTCAAGCTGGTAATGAATTGGATGTATTTTCTTCATTTGCTGCATAATCACAGTGATGAGAAGCAATAAACATTACATAACACACCTCATACATTTTGTAAAATTTCAACACGTGCTGTAATGTTCCTTGGTCATCTATTGCACGAGGAAAATTAAACAGAACTCATTTTGGATCATCAGGTAACTTCATTGATTATGTAACACATTTCAGAGTAAGAGGGAGATAATTTTCGGGAAGAGATCTTTTAATTTTGTAAAAAAACCAGTGACAAGAGGGAAAGATTCTATTCAGTGTTGCAAAACTGGACTGCTGTGCTAAGGAAGATCGTCGAATGAGCCTCTAGATTTTGCCAAATTTCCTTCCTGCCACATTTTCCTCGTATTTTAATACGAATTTTCTTGGAGATCTGTGAATATATTTCTTCAATTTTTTAAAAGCATTTTATTCGCTGTCAGATCTAAACTATGAGAAATTTTCAGGAGAACACATGCATGACTCTCCTCAGAAATAAACATTCCATCAGAGGAAATTTGGCAACTCTAGAATGTTCATACAGCGTTTTTTCTTTATACTTCAGTAGAGGAATTCCAATCTCAGGTCTGCATTTCAGCTACAATAAAATAGATGAAGGAGAGTGAAAAAATCAGAAACAGTGGACTATTTTAGAGCAAAGACTTGTTATGAATTTTTGGGGCATTTTCTGGCCCCTGCGCAATAGTTAAAATTTAAACGAGGAGTGTATATGGACTGATCTGTAATTCCGAAAATCTACCAGGCCTTATTCAGCGATACCTCTGCAATTAAAGTTTCGGCTCAGAAGTGCAGCAAATTAGGGTGTCAAATCATCCATTGCTATTACCTGTAAATTTACGTTTTTATATATAAATCATGGATCGTTTGAATGAGCATTTCTCTGATTTCTTAAGCATTCACTCGATTATGACATATGGGGTTTTCTTCAATTATGTTCTGGGTCAAATTTTAAAACAACTAAATTTCGTTTCTGATCCTTGCAAACCTGGCCGGCCTGCCTCCCTTCGAATTTTTACAGTTTTATCCTTCGGGCACTATTTAGCTGAGTTGCTGTGTCAGGTAATCAATCTCAAAATTGTGGCGAAAATATTGCTATTGTGCACAAAGACCGATAGATGAATCTCCTCACAATCCTATTTTATTAACCTTCAAAAGTTCTGTGTAAGTATTTCCATTGGACTTTTTATTTTGGGCTGAAAATTAGGAACCTAACTCTTGCAAGGGAATATTGGATTTTTGAATTGATTTTTTACCTTTTGGAGAGGATTGGTCCTATATTAGAGTAGACTCTATTTTACCTAGAAGCAAAGTGCATATCCCCTGTTGTTAATTTTTTGGCCGTCGGAGAAATTATGATAAAACCATATTTATGTCGTATTATTGTCAATAGTTCTTAAGTGGACAGTAATTTATCAGATTATATCCAGTCCTTCATAATGGAGGGTCAAATGGACCCCCCGAAAAGGCATAAATCAATCCAAAAAAATCCCATAAAACCCCTCTGCAAGATTTATAATTCTAATTAAGTGAATCAACAATTGAAAAATACTTGGAGAAAAACGTAGGATCGACTTTACATAGTTGCAGGAAAAAGCAAAATTATGAGCACAAATGGAGATAAAATAAGTGACATTTAAGAAATTTAGAGGACCTTAATTTTGAAGCGGGCGTTTTCTTGAAATAAAAGTTATCTCACAAAAAGTCTTATTTTGACCTATCGCCTGAATCGTGGAACACCCTATGTATTCAAAATTTGCAAATTTTATCGCGCAATTAGGCAACATTGGCGGCGAAAAGCCACACCACCCGACGCGACGTGTTTCGCGAAGTCGTGGGAGATGTTAAAGTTTGCTGAGAGTTTGTCGAAGGAATTCCGATGAATGCGGCGAGCTGCAATATTTTCCGGAAGAGAGATATGAGGCGATGCCATAAGCGCTTGTAACCCCCTCCTCCCACCTTCCTCCAACGTCTTGTGTGTGCACAGTGCATTCTCGCGGAGCCAGCCCCCTCCTCCGAACCCCGGGTGTATGTCACACCGAAAAGATCCTGGAACCTATTTTTGAGTTCTTTTCGAACTTCTATGCCGGCAGAAGTCACAATGGGTGGCGTTCGATGCTGGCCTCAGGGTTGCCATTTGGAAATTGAAATATCGGCGCATCACTGGCGCAAGGACGTAACTCAATTTTCACGTTAGCCCTCTGCCCCTTCAATTAATACCATGAAAATAAGGATACAACTATTGCGACTTCTAGGAGCTCGCTTTGCCTACCTCGTCAAATGAAGGCGAACTCGAGTGGATTAGTTTCGCTATGACTGTTGCATGCCAACGAAGGGATTAGAGTTGCTGAAATTCATATACTTTAAGCCTTTGAACAGAAAACGATTTTACCATCACTTTAATATTCACACGTAATTTATTAATTCAATCAGTATTAAAAGTTTCGCTTATTATATTATGAGCCTCCAGGTGGTCTGCTTTCGAATTTGAACTATTTGCTGGCTGATGAACAACCTCATTTTCAAACCACGCCTAGAGCACCCTTGTTTTGTGATCTGGTAATTAAGCTGTCTGTTTCTAAGATGTTGATTTCAAGCTCATATGGTTCCTAGTTCTAAGATGATTACAGATGTTGTATCTTGCCGATACAGGGTTGCTACTTCTCTCAACTTTTCATTCATTTGTTCCTCTAATTTTTTTTAATTATTTTGTGCAAACATTTCCAGCAAAATTGGACCCATAAAAAGAATCCAATAATTTTTATCAATGGTTATCAAAAATTTTTTGGATGTGCTGAAGATACTTGTTAAGTTTTAATCAGATAGACGTGTATTTGTCTCAAATGTGCAATGTTACATGGTAATGTTAAAGTAAAAGTATCGAAACGCGATAAAAGAAGGCAGCAGGAATAGTATTATAGACCAATAATATCAGTCCCAGTCAGTTTTATAATACACCTGTCTTACTTTTCCCCTCATTTTCGGGAATTATAACCTTCCAATTCGCTCATGTACCCTATTGAGCCAATCAATAGCCGTTGGATCCGGTTTTTTACCTTCTCTGCAAATAAAATGGAAGCAAACTTACATTGAAGCGACGCGATGGTGAAATGTATGTATGTATGAGCCGCTTTTACGGCGCGCTAGGGCGCTCTGCGACGCCTATTCTCCACAGGAATCTGTCATGGTAGAGATCCTCCGGAAGCTGGCATCTCTCCATCTCTTCATGGATGCCCTCTACCCACCGTTTGGCTGGACGCCCTCTCCGTCGCCTACCTGGGGGGACCCACTCCAGCACCTTCTTCGGCAACCTGGTATCAGCCATTCTCTGCACATGCCCATACCATACCAATTGCTTGGTCATGATATCGTGCACAAATGGTGGCACAATATCGTGATGGTGAAATACCTAACGAATATGCCGGGATTCACCATAAACCTCATTCTTCTTTCTTCTTCTTCTTCTGATGGTTTATTGGCTTATAACCTCATTCTTAAAAGAAGCTAGGAAAAAAAAGCTACGTTCAGAAGTGTTGCCAAATTTCCCAAACTTTACGAGCTTTTTTGAGCACTCCGCGCGTGGACGTCATTGTGTGCTCAGAATTTTTTGAGTAGGAGACAACGAAGCTTAAAGATCCTCCTTTTAAGCCTATTTGGAAATCCGAGTCGAGCCAAGCGGAACGGGTTGCAGACTAGAGTTGCTACTGGCGCAAGTTTCTAATTGGAATTTGCGACCCCGCATCAACTATTTTAAGGCATGACGCTGAATATTAGCGACAGTCACTTCATTGTCTTTGACCCTTTTCCGCCCACAGCCACCCATTACGTCCTCCTTTCTTCTCTCCTAAAATTGCATCCTCCGACTCAACGTTGCATGTACAGTGCATTTTATTGTTTTTTTATTTTCACCAAGGATTTTCCTGTCGCATCTTAATTCCTCACTATTATGTTTCGGTTCACGGCGGTTCACGATTAAATATTGTCATCCTCCATCCATACACGGAGAATAAAACTCCGTGCGTAGGACCCGAAGTCCGAGTTAGTCATATGGATCTCTGACGTTTTCGGATCACGTATCTAATAACTTAAGGTTCAGCTGCCGAGGTTCGGGTCAGACATCTGAAGTACTTCGATGTACACCGAAGGGTATTCGGGTCACACATCTGAAGTACTCCGGTACATGCCGAAGTGCTTCAGATGTCTGTCCCGAACTTCGGCAGCTCGACCTCAAGTTTTCGGATGCGTGATCAGAAAACTTCAGAGATCCATATGCCCTCAACTTAGGGTCCCATGCACGAAGTGTTTTCCTCCGTGTATGTGTGTATATAACAGATATATCTGAAATCTCATTATCTTTTATTTTATTGTATTGGTTTAACTTTAATAACAAGTCATTTTCTCATTTAGTTCCTTTAGTTTTAACCTATTTTATGGTACTAATCGAACCTACTAGGAGTCTGATCCTTCCCCGATCTTTAAGAATCCGTTTAATGTCTAATACAATCTCGGGTCATTTACTAATAATTCTTCTGGGAGATTGTGGTTTTTATGATAGCTTCGGTCTTAGGTTTGAACTTTTCAGCGTACGGGTTTTTTTTTTTTTTTAAATGTCATTAGTGGT